GGGAGCTGGATTGGAAGTGGAGCAGCGAGGACACAAACTGGCACCTGTATGGGATGCTGGCATCACAGGTGGCAGCTTAACCCATTGTGCCCCCAACAGTGTCTTAACTGCACTGCTGAATGCCTGCCCCAAATGGCCCTTTACTGAGCCAGGAATTGCAAGTCCTTTGGGAAGCTGGCGTGTAGAGGCAGGCCCCTGAGCCAGTGAGTCCTCCTACCCAGCACTGCGTCTCGGTGTGTTCACAGCATCTGCAGCAGCTCTCTTGCCGTTTCCACTAAACCTAAGAGCATTTAAATGGCAGGCAACATTGAAAGCAGCGAATGCAGAGCACATCCCTCTTCAGGTAGGAGTCCGGGGGGGAGCCGTCTTCCAGGCAGTGAACCTCAAATTATTTTTGATCACCTCCCACTTAGGCCAAAACTGCCTGACCTCTTGACTCCATCTAGTCTCATTTTCCAGTGGAAAAATAAATTAGTGATAATTGGAGGGGAGTGGGTTATGTATACATTTGCTCTAGCACTGAAGTGTGGCTGATTCACATTGGAACCACAATGTATACATGGCTTGGAGTCTAGTTATTGGAAAATTACAGCCCCAGAATACTGTTGATGCAAATAAACTTCACCAAACTCTGTAGGGTTAACCAAGCAACCCACAACAAATACGTTGATAATGATAAAGCTAAGCTAACAGTCATTCGTAATTAAAAAGTACCGATGGCAGCAGCTGAAATCTGCAACCAACTCAAGGCAACACCGACGATGTGCTGATAAAGCGTCTCCCAGACTTGGGCAAGGCCAACCCTGGGTCCGCGCGTGGGAATCCTGGGTGTTTTCCTACAGGAGGCGAGCGCCACGCAGCTGACAGCGAGACTACACAGCACAACTGTAGGTGCTCTGTCTCCCCCATCATGCTCTCCTACTCTGTTACTGATCGGTAGCCCTGGTAACATGTAACCATCAAACCTTAGCCAAAGGGCACACAGTTCACCATACTGCTCCCAAACAGGGCTTAAAAACTACAGGTTCAAGGCACAGGAAGAGGCTTCTGGGACATCTCTCCCTTCCCTCCCCCCGTCTGCCTGGCTCCTGCCCCTCTGCAGTGCCCCTAGATCTGTCTCCACTCTTAACATCACCATGCAGGCAGCTTCTCTTCCACGCTCAGGCAGACCAGAGATGTGCATCTGGGCTTACAAAGTGCTCGGATGCCCATTTGAAAATGTGAGAGATTTCCTGTACTACCCAGTGCAGGGCAATCTCCTGATAGCACGTTAAGTATGGGAGGAGGAAAAGGAAGTGCAGGTGAATGTCTAGAGTGTTCTCTGAATGTGAGAAAACACCTTCAACACTTGCATGCCTTTGCAGCGGTTCGTGTGCCTGGGGCCTCTGGCAGTGCCTCCAGGGAGGGGCTGTGGCTGCTGGGGGTGGGGAGGGAGGGACACTTAGGTTTTTCACTGAATACCCATTCATGCTTTTTGAATTCTGTGCCACTTATGTATTAACTAAAAATAACCAGGAATTTAAGTTTAGAAAGGAGAAAATACCCAGTGTTCCTACAGAGACTGGAACCTTGTCCTGGTTTCCTGGTTTGGCTTTTTTTTTTTTTTTTTTTTTTGAAGAGGTGAGGGTTAAGTTCAGTTTATTTATTATTCTGATGCTTCTTTCTTGTTCAAATCATGGTCATGTGTAAGCAGGAGACTCCAGCTTTGAAAGGCAAACATCTAAAGGAGGTGACAGGTTCTGTAACGTGGGCCCTGGGATTCCGGACAAGGGCCTCAGTTCTGAAAAGCAATTTTCTTGAAATGTTTGCTTATTTATTTTCAACCACTTGAAAGGCAGAGAGCGAGCAAGAGCTTCCATTCACTGGTTCACTCCACAAATGTCTGCAATAGCCAGGCTGGGCCAGGCTGAAGCCCAGAACTCCAACCTGGTCGCCCATGTGGGTGGCAGAGGCCCAAGCATTTGGACCATCAGTGGCAGCCTTCCCAGGTGCATTAGCAGGGAGCTGGGTCTCAGAGCAGCACTCTGATATGGGATGCCGGTGTTGCAAGGGCCAGCTTAACAAACACACTGCACCCCGACAACTTTCTAAGTTCGTGCTCTTACTAAGGGCACCTGCATATTTGCAGCTTAAGTACAAGGGAAAAAAAAGACGAGACAACAAAATTCGTAAAGCACAGCGTGTTTGAATGAATGCATTTCTCTTATTTCATCCCACGTGAGGATTGCTCAAGGACACGAAGTCATTGCTTATCTTGATTTGCCACCAGGAACTTAAAAAAGAACAACAGAAGTATTACAGTACTTAGTGTTTCCTAATGAAAAATCTTTCACTAATTATGTAAAAAAATTCTATTCTTTTAAAGAAATTGACGTAACAATGCACACTGCCTTTGTATCTTAAATGCTCTACGCTGAGAAACAATTCTTTCTTGGAGCAAAATACCCAACGAAATGTGCAGTATTACAAACTGGATTCTGAGTTACTACAGATAGACAGTATAGGAAGAAAAGACGAGAAAGCTGAAAGGAATGTTCTGGACAATATGGGAGGCCTAGCTTTGGGTGGTGTAGACACAGATCACGGTGACTTCTCCAGACCAGACAGGGCTTTGTGCAATGGGCCTCCAGTAGTGACAAGGTGGCGGTTAAGGGCTTCCAGAGGAAGGCACTCAAGCTGGTGTCCCGTGGGCACTGTTTATGAAAATCGTACACTGAAGGTGAGTTAGCAGTGATTATTTACCCCAAGGCTTAGGTCAGTTTAAGGGTGCAAACGCTAAGTCCCAGAAGGCCCTCTTTGTCTCTGAGGGCAGTCTCCTAGCTGCTAGGGGTGCAAATATTTCCCTGCTGCCTGCCCCCTATCATCACCTGTTTCCCCTCGAGCTCCTTCCCTGTTCCTCCAGGACCTACCAGCAGCCTGGCCCAGCTGGAGTGCTGCATTTCAAGGTCAGGTTCACAAAGAGGGGATACAAGTAACCACAGGCCCTAGAGGCACCCACGCAAGGAAACTGCTCGGCTTTGGTCTAAATGACTTACATTTTTCCTTGCCCGAATTAGCTGGTAATTGCATGTGGGCAGACTTAGCCAGAATGGTCTGAATGATCAATTAGAAGGCAAAAAGGAGTTCCTTTCTTCAAAGTTCAAGGGTCCCTGTTGAAGAGCTCGACTTCCCAAGCGATGCTCCAATGGGCCTGTGCCCAGCTCTCTGCGGTGCCGGAGTAGATTGTACATTTGCCTAACGATAATGAATTGAGTACTTATTTTTGCAGGAAAATATAGGGCATTTCCATTACATGCAATCAAGCAAAAAGGCTGCAAAATGTGCCACTCCATTAATTCTAAACTGAATTCTTCCCAAATGTCACCCTGAAATGAGAGTATGGGGTGATTAGAAATTTGAAGGAATTAAGGGTAATTTCCATTTCTACAAAGGACTTGAGGGACATGACTCCTGCCACACACACACACACAAAATTAGTTGGGTTAAATTTGTGTGAATCACTGAGGCTTGTCCTGGGCTGCCCTGATGGTGGCAGTAGAGGGTTCTGGGGCTTCTTTGAGCTCTCAGGTGTGTGTGGGCAGATGCGCACGCGTGCGCGCGCACACACACACCCCCCTGTAGAACATGTCAAGAATGCAGTTGGTCAGTTATTAACACATCTGTCATTTGAAGGAAAACATCGGCTTCTGAACCTCGGAGCCTCAGCCTTCTCATCTTCGAAGGGGATTATGAGGCCTACTTCAGTGAGAGTGGCGGGCATGCGTGAGTGTGGGTCTAGCTCAGGACTCAGTGGGGCGCCCGGCATGTGTTCACACCCATCGTGACTTGAGCTGAGCTGCCATCTTCTGGGGACTCTGTCTTGCCTAAACTGGTTCCTAAATCACTCAGAGGGACATTGGGACCTGGCGTCTGGAGGCGGATGACCTTCCCAGTCATTGCTGGGTCCGCCCCAGGGCCTGGGAGGTGCAGGGCAGCCCTTGGAGCTTCTGATGCTTTGTAGTGTCAGTCCCTACTCTCTGGGTTGCAGCTGGCTTTGTGGGAGAGAGCACAGAGCGAGAGACAGGAGCTAGCAGGGCAGGGCATTCCGGAGGCTGGTCCCTGGGGCCCGGGGCCCCTCACTCCACGTTCCGGTACTTGGTGAAGAGGTTGTACAGCACCCGCAGGGTGGACTTCAGGTCACAGTTGACGATATCTGCAGAGGAGACAAGAGAGACGGGCTGCTGCAGGGGAGCCTCACACGCCGAAGCTGCTGTGCACTGCCCCTGTGTCTGCCACCCTAGCCTGCGGCCGCGTGGACTCATGGCAATCAGGGGGGTGGGCATGGGAAGGTGGGCAGAGTGCACAGGGACTCAGCAGGGGCAGCGAGGGGGGAGGGGCTGGGCACAGGGGTCCTGCCTCTTGCTAAAATAAAGTATGTGGACTCCATCCTGGAAACAGCATCTGCAGGTGAGAAGGGGACCCGTCTGACTCAGTCTCCCTCATCTCACCTGGGCCTGAGGCCACGCCCCTCTGCTCCAGGGCCAGGAGAGGGGAGAATGCCTGGGGCTAGAGTGGGGGTCAAGGTGGTCACAAGGTGGGACCCCCAGGCAGGCACAGGAGTCCACCTGGCAGAGGAGGGGGCGTGGCATGAAGACACAGTAAGTAAGTGTCAGGTGACAAGTAGAACAAGGGGAATGGGTTTCAAGGCACAACAGGGAGTTGGGTCATAGGAGGGGACTTCAAAAAGTGGGAAAACAGAACAAAAAGGTTTATTTTGCTGCAAAAAAAACTTGAAACTCATGCATAGCTTTTTATATAAATTTTCCATGAACTTTTTGAAGGATCTTAGCAGAGTTGCACTGTGGGTTCCTGAGCTTTCCTGCAGCTCCGTCCTGCTGGGAGCAGCAGCCACTTTCCATGCAATGATGTCAGGCACGAGGAGCCTGCCAGGTAGAGAAGTGGGCGAAGAATTCCACGTGGAGGACTTAGTGTGTCTACCTTTTATTTTATTTATTTATTTATTTATTTATTTATTTATTTATTTATTTGAAAGTCAGAGTTACACAGAGAAGGAGAGACAGAGATCCTGCATCTGCTAGTTCATTTCCCAGGGCTGAGCCAGGCTAAAGTCGGAGTTTCATCCGAGACTCCAGTGTGGGCGAGAGACCCAAGCACTTGATCCAGCCTCTGCTGCTTATTCCCAGGTGCATTAGCAGGGAGCTGGATCAGAAGTGGAGTGGCTGGGACTCAGACCAGCGACTATATGAGATGCCAGCGTTACAGGTGCTGGCTTTATCTACTATGCCACAACACTGGCACCAGTGTATCTCGATTTTACAGAAGATTTATTTATTTGAGAGGCAGAGTGACAGAGTATGGGAGGGAGGAAGAAGGGTGGGAGACAGAGTGAGAAGAGAGATCTTCCATTCCACTGGTTCATTCCTTAGTTGGCTTCAACAGCCAGGTCTGTGCCAGGCTAAATTCAGGAGCCCAGAACTCTATCCGGGTCTCCTATGTGGATGGCAGGGGACCAAGCACTTAGGCCATCATCTGCTGCCTTCTCAGGTGCGATAGCAAAGAGCTAGATCTGAAGAACAGCCAGGAATGTAAATAGTACTTTGAAAAGGTATGCTGGTGGGACCGGTGCTGTGGTGCAGAGGGTTAAAGCCCTGGCCTGCAGTGCCAGCATCCCATATGGGCACCAGTTTGAGTCCTGGCTGCTCCACTTCCAAGCCAGCTCCTTGTGAATGTGCCTGAGAGAGCAGCAGAGGATGGCCTAAGTCCTGGGCCCCTGCACCCATGTGGGAGACCTGGAAGAAGCTCCTTGTTTCCGATTGGCCCAGCTCTGGCCGTGGTGGCCATTTGGGGAGTGAACCAGCAGATGGAAGATCTCTTTCTCTGTCTCTACCTCTCTATAACTGTGTCAAACAAATAAATCTTAAAAAAAAGGGGAGGGGATGCTGGTGTAGCAGGAGTGTCCCACTGTACCACAATACCAGCCTTTTAGTGTGTTTCATTAAATCCTGCTATTCTAGAGAACTTCAAGTGCATTAACATGGCTGGAGAAGTTGAGGGACAGGTGGTTGGATCCTGGAAGGACTTAATTTCAAAATGTAGAACTTGGATGATTTTGTAGGCAGAAAGCTGGGGGCTACCCACTGGACACAAGCCCCTGACACATTTTACTTAGTCTCTTTGCTTTTCACCTCCCTTCCATCTAAGGACTGGCCAGCACTTTCTGCAGCTGCCCAGCTATCCCCACCTCCCCCGGCTCCTCCACCTCCTTGTCCCCCTGCACTCCCCTAGAGAGCCATCTTTCAAAGAACAGAAAAGGCACTCTGCTGTTTAGAAATGCATACTTAGGTAGTAAAAGGAAAGAGAAACCAAGGGCAAAACCCTGATGCGCATAAGTTGGCACAGAGGTTAACCTTTGGGGAGGAAGTGGAGGATCATGTTGAAAGGGGAATGGGGTGACCTGGAGGGAGCTTCTGGGATCTCGAGTTACCTTTGTCCTTGACCTGGGTGGAGGCTCACTTGATAATAGTTCACGGACTTGTACGTTTATGTTTGATGTGTCTTTCCGCATGTACTTTTTGCTATAGCAATGACTGTTAATGATGTAACCATGCAGGAGGTCAGATGGGGTAAGGGACATAAGAGAAGATGATAAACGCCCTGGGATTCCAAGGTGGTGCTGAGCCTTCGGGCGGGGGGTGGGGGGATATGTCAGGAGTCGACCAACAGGTGCAGGGTGCAGAGTAGGAGGCTCTGGCTCCCAGGCCTTGGCCTGGGGACTCGTGTAGCTATGGGTGCCACAGTCAGGCACACTCGGGCTCCAGGTTCCAGGCACTGCACAGACAAATGCTGACTGAGCCACAGGCTCGGGGCTCTGGGCTGGGGAACCTCCCTGAGGTCTCCCCAACCTTGTACCCCTCCTGCCTGCCCCCTCCCAGGACTTAGCCTGTTTGTAGGCCAGCCCTACTCCACCCAGCTGGCCTAGGACCATGAGCCAAGTTCTCTTGCTGAGAGACCAATTGCTCCCAAGACCACCTGAGAGGCCTGGGGCTCACAGCTTCCCTTTCTGCTGCCCTACCTACCTGAGCCTCACCTGGGGCCCCGACCAGTGACTGAGCCCCGATACACTGCCCAGCTTCTCCTGAGCTGAGCTGTACTCCTGCCAGGTGCAATCCCGTGCCCCGCTCTGGCCCGATTCCTGTCTTCTCCCAACAGCTTGGTGCTGAGTGTTTCTTCAATTCCTCTCAAGCCAAACATCAGGAAGTCACCCTGGGGTTGCTCAAAAGGTAGGCAGGGGCGAAGGTGAGCTCACAAAGGGAATGAGCTTCAACAGGGGAAAATAATGTCCTATCAGGGTCTCTGTGCTGAGCTCTAAGTGAGCTCCTTAGAGACGCTTGTTCTTGCCGACCCATTCTACCCACTGCACGCAGCTCTGGGTATGGTTGTGCGGGATGTGCACTGCATAACCCCAGGGCCCATCCTTCACATTTCCATAGACTACACTACAAACTGTGTTCCCTCGAGTTATGCAGCTCTCAACTTGTAGGGCCATACAGCCATTTCACTTACGATGAGCTCCAACATTCTCAGTCACAGCTTTGCAAGGGATAGCCTGACTCAGCCTACCTTTCCAGTCTCGTTTCAGGCCACGCTGGCCCCTACCCCATGCATCCCCGTGACACTCCCTGGGCTTGGCCTCTGCTCATGCTGTTGCAACATCTCGATTGCCCTTCCCAACTATCTGCTTTCTGATCCTCCTGCAGACACCGGATCAAAGCACAGCTCCTCGGGGAAGCCCCTCAGGGCCTGGCCCGGGTGAGGGTGCCCTGCTTTGTGACCGCAAAGCCCCTATGCTGCTCCTCATAGCGCTCATTCCAGTTCTGGACCTTACTCAGGTCACGCCTGCCTCTGCTCACCTTGTTTTGCTGTCAGCCCGGTGCTGGGCCTGCAGAGACCCTGCAAGGGTGTGCACAGCTACATGAATGGTCGCCCGGTGTTCCAAGAGCCACGGAAGAAAATCCCAGAAAGAGGGGGTGGCCAACAGACTCACACTCCCCAAGAAGGTCACGAGGTAAAAGACGGGAAAGCATTCCCCTGGGGAGAGCAAGGCCATGAGCAGGTGGAGGTGGAGTGTTAGCACGGTGGGCAGATTAGAAGGGGAAGCAGTGGCCTGGGACGGAGAGCCGGAGTGTGGACCTGATGCAGGACGGCTCTGGGTGGAAGCAGGGAAGTCTGTTTCCCCTTCTTATTTTTCAAAATGCCTGTTTATTTCATTTTAAAAATTTGTTTGAAAGGCACATATATTATCTTCCATCCACTGGCTCGCTCCTCAAATGCCTCCAACAGCCTGGGCTGGGCCAAGCCAAGCCAGGCAGAGCCAGGAGCGCCATCCAGGTCTTTCACGTAAGTGGCAGGGGCATCATCAGGAAGCCGGATGGAAGCAGAGGCTGGGCTTGATCCCAGGTGCTCTGAGATGCGGGGGTGGGTGAGGGAATTCCAAGCAGCAGCTTAACCCCCTAAGCCACAATGTCTGCCCCATACCTTCCCATTTTTAAAGACGGATGAGCTGAGGTTGCTAGAAAAACAAAATGTCCAGTAGAGAAGAATATCTCCAACTGATCACTTCATTTATTTTTTTTTTTTAAGGTTTATTTATTTGAAAGGCAGAGCTACAGAAAGGCACAGGCAGAGAGGTCTTCCATCCTCTGGTTCACTCCCCAGATGCCACAACAGCTGGAACTGGGCCAATTGGAGGCCAGGAGCCAGGAGCCTCTTCGGGGTCTCCCACGCAGATCCAGGAGCCCAAGTACCTGCGCCGTCTTCTACTGCTTTCCCAGGCCACAGCAGAGAACTGGATTAGAAGTTGGGCAGCCAGGTCTTGAACTGGCGCTCATATGGGATGCGGCACTGCAGGTGGCGGCTTTACCCGCTATGCCACAGCGCCAGTCCCACTTCATTTACTTTTTTTTTTTTTTTTTTTGGACAGGCTGAGTTAGTGAGAGAGACAGAGAGAAAGGTCTTCCTTCCCTTGGTTCACCCCCCAAATGACCGCTATGGCAGGCGGTGCGCCAATCCAGAGCCAGATGCTTCCTCCTGGTCTCCCATGCGGGTGCAGGGGCCCAAGCACCTGGGCCATCCTCTGCTGCCTTCCCAGGCCACAGCAGAGAGCAGGACTGGAAGAGGAGCAACCGGGGCTAGAACCTGGTGCTCATATGGGACGCTGGCGCTGTAGGCGGAGGATTAACCAAGTGAGCCATGGCGCAATGCCCCCCCCACCCCCCTTCATTTACTTTTAATGGCCACTAAGTTTTGGAGCCTAGTGCCACTGTGGTGCAATGATCCTGGTAAGCCATTTAAGCTGGGGAATTAGTTTTCTCACTGGTAAAACTGGGCAATACCTTTATGAAAACTCCTAAAACATATTAAGGACCCCTAAATGGGAGTTTCATTCCTGTTTTCCCATCTTTGCCCATTAACAGAGCTGTTATGTACAGCTGTGCAGTGTGTACAATGCACAACTCCAGAGGGTGCCAATCACAGGGGCTAAGATCTGTTCCTTGGGACTCTTAGTCGGTTCTTCACCAGCATCCTCACCACCAGGTGGGCTGCATGAAGGGGAGAGACTACAGTTAGAAGCACTGCTTATCATCTGTTTCTATCAAGAAAGCTAAGGACCCACAGAGCTGTGGCTTAGTAGGTTAAGCATCTGCCTATGGCACTGCATCCCATGTGGGTGCAGGTTCAAGTCCCAGCTGCGCCACCTCTGATCCAGCTTCCTGCCGATGGCCTGGGAAGGCAGTAGTAGATAGATGGTCCAAGTGCTTGGGCCCCCACACCCGCGTGGGAGACCTGGAGGAAGCTCCTGGCTTCGCTCTGGCCATTGTGGCCATTTGGGGAGCAAACCAGCAGATGGAAGACTGCTCTCTCTGTCTCTGTCTGTAACTCTGCCTCTCAAGTGAATAATAAATCTTAAAAAAAGCTAAGGCCAGCCTCCAGGTAGTCTCACACAGAGTGGCAGGCCAGGGGCTGGCTGTCTCAGCCAAGAGAGGAACACCCAGTGACTCCATGCTATAGAAACAGAGCCTTCTAAGCCCTGGCCCCTCAAACTCAGTGATCAGCAGCAGTGCTGCCCTGCTGCCTTTGTCTGGAGCAGGCAGGCAGGGTTGTGGGGCAAGGGAGAGAGAAAGCAGACCCAAGGGGGCTGTGGGAGAAAAGGGCCTCTGGCCAGGGGGAAGGGCGGCCTGTCTGACCCCCAATCTCCCTGCCCCAGCACCAGCGACTCTGCACATGGGAGAACCACGCACTGAGTTCACGATTCTCGCAGTGAACAGAAGTCACAGGAGGCAGGGAGCTCTCGTGACAGCGGACACCCAGTCTGGACACAAAGGGAGGTGGTCCTGTGACTCCCCCCTCCTTCCCTCACCCTGAGGCACCTGCTGGGACCCTTTCTCTGTAGCTCCTCCCTGCCTCTGCCCCTGAGCCCCTGGACCAAGGAGGGAGGACCCCTGGGGGCTCAGTGCCACCAGCTGAGTGGCCATGGACAGCCACTCGAGGCGCCCATCAGGCTTAAAACAGCAAATTTTAATTTTGCCTCTTCTTAGGTTCTTATATACATGAGCTCATAGTACATGTAGTCTTTTGTGATTTGCTCTTTCACTCAAATTACGTTTGCAGCATTCATACAAGTTGCATGAGATGTTCATTTCTAGACAATTTTATTAAGGTAGAACTAAACAAATATAATCCTGTAGTTTTTCAAGAATACTTCCCCATGGGTTGTCTGCCTCTGACAGACCTGCAGTGCTCTGGAAGGTTTGTTCCTGATCACTCTGTGTGGTTTTCTACTTGCTTTGCTGCACAGAATAGTCAGTGAACTCTTTGTGCTGCAGTGGCTGGAGGGCCCTCACCTGACTTGTGGCTCAGTTCTTTTTATTGTCATTGTATAATAATCCGTGGTATGAATCTGTTCCACTTAGTCTCCTGGGGATGTACAATCCAATGTGGGTCTTCATGGGCATTTATTTTCTTTTAGATTGTGATTTATACAATAATTGTACACATTTATGGGGTACCATGTGATGCTTTAACTCATGTCTGTGCTGTGTGATGGTCAAGTCCAGGTAATCAGCATATCCATCACCTTGAACCTTTACCATTTCTTTGTAGTGAGAACACTCAATATGTCTCTGCTAGTGATCGTGAACTATGCAATGCTTTACCCTTAACTACGTTTACATGGAACACCTGACCTCATTCCTCCTAACCAACTCTGTAACTGTTGGCCAACCTCATCTACCTCCCTCCAGCCTCTGGTAAGCACTACTCTGCTTTCAACTGCTGGGAGATCAACTTCTTAGACTCTACACATATGTGAGATATTGTAGTATTTGTCTTTCTGTGCCTGTCTTATTTCATTCAACATGATGTCTCCCCAAGCCCTCCATGTTGTTGCAAATAATATCATCTTTTTTATGGCTGAATAGTATTCCATCGCCTCTATTTTCTTTATCCATTTCCACTGATAGACATTTGGGTTGATTCCGTGACTTGGCTGTTATGAATACTGCAACAAAAAACATGGGAGTGCAGCTGTCTCTCTGACATACTGACTTCATGGCTTTGGATATGAATCCAGTAGAGGGATTGTTGGACTGTATCAATGTTCTATTTTTAAAAATTTGTGGCTGGCGCTGCAGCTCACTAGGCTAATCCTCCGCCTGTGGCACTGGCAGTCTAGGTTCTAGTCCCAGTTGGGGCGCCAATTCTGTCCCGTTGCTCCTCTTCCAGTCCAGCTCTCTGCTGTGGTCCGGGAGGGCAGTGGAGGATGGCCCAACTCCTTAGGCCCTGCACCCGCATGGGAGACCAGGAGGAAGCACCTGGTTCCTGGCTTCGGATTGGCGCAGTGGGCTGGCTGTAGCAGCCATTTGGGGGGTGAACCAACGGAAAGAAGACCTTTGTCTCTGTCTCTCTCTCTCACTGTCTAACCCTACCAGTCAAAAATTTTTTTTCATTTATTTAAAAATCAGAGAGAAGGGAGACAGACACAAAGAGAGCTTTCAACTGCTGGTTTACTCCCCAAATGCCTACAACAGCTAGAGCTGGGCCCAGCCAAAGCCAGGAGCCTGAAACTCCATCTGTGCCTCCCATGAGCATGCCAGGGACCCACTGCCTCCTAGGGTATGTGCTAGCTGGAAGCAGAGCAGGGACTCAACCCAGGCACTTCAGCCTGGGGTGTGAGTATCTTAACGGCTGAACCAAAGCTCCACCCCAGTAGCTCTATGTTTTAGTTTTGAAGGACCTCTTCACTGTTTTCTATAATGGCTATGTTAATGCATGGTCCCAATATTCTTGCATTTGCCTCCTGGGATGTGGACATGCACAGCTGGCTGTGGAATCGCGGGGTCGAGGGTAGCGCAGCTTCCTATTACGGCTGTCATTTTGTGGCCAAAAGTCCATCAGTCTCAGTGGGACAGAATCAAGGTGGCAGTGTGGCTGCCTTGCTTCTGGAAGCTCTGGAGGGGAACCCTCTGTCTTGCTTTTCCAGTTCCCAGGGTTCTTCGGCCTACAGCTCTCTGTCACCTTCCAAGTCAGCTCCTCCTCCACTGCTCCCACGCTCCTGCTTCCCTCTTGCGCTCCGCAGGGGCTACTTGGCTAACCTAGGACAATCCCCGCAAGAGCCTCCATTCACTCACACCTGCAAAGCTCCATCTGCCAGGTAAGGGAAATAGGATGTGGCCCCTGGGGGGTGGGGGGTAGGAGTCTTCATTGTGCTTACCACATCCGGTGTCACACACCTTTAACTGTGTCAGCAGCCATTCTCTGTGGTTCTCCAGCCTCACTAACCCTGGGTATTTTCTGAGTTGTAAACTTTTGCCACCATTGTTTTTGGTACGCTGTCCCCTCAGAGCGTGGGAAAGGGCAGTTGACTGCTTTGGGTACAAGCGTCCAGGCAGGTGCACTGAGCACCTGGAACTCAGCTGCCATGGTCTGCTCTCAGACTGTAGACCTCTTAGATTGTAGATACTCCATCAGCTTGCTGGCTGCCCTACGGACTTCAGTGCTGCCTGGTAAGCTAGGATCTTCAGCATATTTGATTCTGACTACTTAAACAGTGGTAACGCAGGGGACCTGTGCACTTAAACACATACAAGGTGCATTACCCTTAGTAGAAAGCCACTAGCTTCATGCCAACATTCAGCTGTCCCACTGGTCATGACTCGATGCTCCCCCTTGGCTTACATTAGTCAGGGACCAAAAGGTTTGAGTCCTGCAGAGCAGAAGTCATCTGAGACACAAAGTCAGAGTTTCTGGGGAATTTCAAGGCACAATAGAGATTTGCATGTCACACAGCAGAGCACAGAGTGCCTTTTCCTGACCTCACAATTTGCCGTGGAAAATGCCTCCACCACGCCCAATTTGATTTTTGAAAAGAGCAGCCCACACAGGCACCTCTGGCAATGTCTGTGGCGTGCAGCGTGGAGTTGCACTTTCCACGTAGACGCACAGAAGGCAGGGTGGTGCTGGGATGCGCTTCTCACAAAGCAGTTACATAAAATACCATTTCAGTTCTCCTCTGTGCACTGGAAATTTCAGCATGGGCACGGTGCCCAGTGTAACAGCAAATGAAACAGACGTAGCTGTTCCACTTGCAATGGTCAGGAAGTTGCACATTAGGCAGTTCGATAATTGTACAAGAAATGCCATCTCTATGCTGAGATAGCCCTGCAGACGGACTGGTATTGGGAAAACTCTCTGACCTAAGAGAAACAAATGCCTGAGAACTAACATCTCAGCAGAGGTACTTGCAGTTCAATAAAAAAAAGGGGGGGGGCAGGAGGTTGGCACAGTGGTTACGACTCTCACATCCCATACTGTAGTGCCTGCTTCAAGTCACAGCCCCTCTGCTTCAGATCCAGCTTCCTGCCAACGAGCACCCCAGGAGGCCACAGGTGGTGGCTGAAGTACTGGGGCCCCTGCCACCCGCATGGGAGACCTGGATGGAATTCCAGGCTCCCGACTTTGGCCTGACCCAGCCCTGGCTGTTGCAGGCATTTGGGGAGTGATCCAGTGGATAGGAAATCTGTTTGTCTCCCTGCTTTTTAAATTAAAATTGCAAAAGAAAATATAAATGAAAATTTAAAAAAGAGCAAGGAAAACAATGGATGGCCAGGGCTCTCCCATTCAGAAGCAGGCGCTCAGCATCTGGCCGCAGGTGGCCTTGCTAGGGATGGACTTTGGGGGGTGGGGTGGGAATATATCAGTCAAGCGAGAAGTCTTCCCCAGCGGTGATCAGGAGCTCAGAGCAAGGTTCTAACAACCGAGTGTACAGCTCTGATCTCCATTGCTCTGGCTGAGGGTTACCGAGCTCGGCAGTGAGGCAGGGTCCCCGTGCTGCCGTCCTGTCCACAATGTGCCCTCCCCATCCTGATCGCCACACACTGAGCCCCTTCCTTGTCCTCGTGGGTTAGCCTGCTGTCACCAGCCAGCCATTCTTCAGCCCAGAGAGAAGCGGAGGTGACCTCCTCACAGCCTCCTAGCTGTCCCTCCTGTGCGGCAGTTACTAGCGCTGTCACTGTTTCGGTGACTGGGTGCACTTTTTTCAATCCTGGTTGGCTGCCGATGCCGGGAGGGCATCTCAGTGTATGGTGATCTACAGGGTCTCAGACCCACAAGGCTACTGGCGCGTACCCCGCTGTATGGGTATGGGAAGGGGCTTGGAGCTGATGCAGCAAATGGACGCTCAACCCCTCCTTGTCCGCTTGACTTTAAACAACCGGGAGAGTACAAGCAAGGGGTCCGTGCACAGCATTCTCAATGTACCAATTCGACATAAACAGACAATTATCCATAACACATGCTGACTCACAGTGTGGGCAAAATGGAATATCTCAGTAAGTGGCAGAAAATGAATGTCCATAGCAAGACAACTTCCGAGAGAAACGTGCCTCCTCCTCGGGCACACGCAGCTGCACACTCTGGGCACGAGCCTGTGAGGGCTGCTGGAGCACACTGCTCCTTTTTGCCTCTCCCCCAGCCATTTCCAGCTGGCCCCTCCACAGCCTCAAATTCAGCACCCTACAATTCAACCAACTGGGGCTCGAAAAGAGTACAAAACAGAAGCTGCACCTGCACTGCTTGCTGCCTCCTTGTCAGGATTCCCACGACCCTGCATTAGATACGGGTCATCCAGAGGTGACTTAAAGTGTACAGGAGGATGCGTGTAGGTTCCCGGCAAAGACTGCCATTTTTATACAAGAGACTTGAGCGTGCATGGGGGTTGTGGGGGTCTCGGAACCTAACCCCCACCAGGGACGCTCAGGGCTTACTGGGCATCCAGCCCCCTGCAGCAGGCCTCATCCTGGGGTCGAGCTCCCTGGCTTGGGGGACAGCAGAGGCGATCACTCTGAATGCAGAGCTGTCCACCCTGTGCCTTCGCCCCCCACTGGCAGGTCAGCACCTGTGCAGGGTTAGAAGACCCTGGGCACGGGGCGGCCCCTGAGGCAGCCGTTCTGTCTCCGCCCCGATCCCTGCCACCCCACGGGTGGGATTCCAGACTTTTTCCTCGCCATGGTCATGTGACTGGCAGCTCACGAAGGGGTTCCAGGACTGGGCAGCTGTGTCCAGTCCCACCTTCCCAAGCTGATGGTCAAGAAGGGCTCAGCAGAGAAGCCTCCATCTGCTATAAAATCAGCTCTTTCCCTTGTGTACTGAACGCTCCGTGCAGCGAGCAGATCTCACAGCATTGGCACAAACCCAGGGCAGCCCCACGGTACCTTCTGGCCGCGGCTTGGGCTTTTCCAACCCTCCGTCTTGCATGAGCTCAAAGGCAAAGGAGACGTTCAAGACCTGCCGAGAGAGAGATGCGGTATGTGTGTCACTGCACACCCGTTCCCAGGCCACTGACCCCTGCACCTGCCCCGGGGAGTGAAGGAGCCAGCAGGACAGCTGGGGAGTGCAGAGGCCGGGCTGATGCGAAGGAGAAATGTGGCTACCCAGATGGGCGGTCTGCAGAGTGCGGGCCTGGCCCTCCTGCTGCAGATGCACTCCTGGAGAAGTACAAAACCCTCTTCCTGTGCTAGCACGTTCCTGGGCCGGCTGCCAGCACTTCCCCGCGGAGGGGATGGGGCTGAGCTGGGGGAGTGCACACCTTTGGAAGGGTCACATGGCAAGGCCCGTGCTAGAAGCAGAGAAAGGGTTCTGCCTTGGGCCGAGTCCCAGAGGCCATCAGAACCAGGTGGGCTTGGCCCTGAACTGCTTCCCTGCCATTTCTGGGGGAAGGGAGGTTGGCTGAGTGCAGGGTGAAGGGAAGACTACTTAGGGTCCGAGCTCAGCTGCTCACACTGAAGACCCTGGGCCGAGGGGACCCCTGGATGGCCCCGGTGTAGGTGTGGTCAGATGAATCAGGGCTTCCCTTGATGTCCCACCCCCTTACCTTCTGTTCAAAGCTGTCCGGGGTCAGGAAGAAGCTGTGCAGGGGCACAAAGTAGCCCTCCAGGAGCCCCATGAGCAGCACCAGGTACACCCCATCTGCAAACTGGAGAGAGCGAGCCTGGTGAAGGCACTGGCCTCCTCCAAGGGCTTGCCGGCTTCCCTCCCACAGGCTGCTGGTGCGGGGAGGGACAGCAAGGTCTGCTCTGCCGCCGGCCTGCCCCACGCTGGCTGCACTGACACAGGAGCCGGAAGCTCGTGGCCCTGACTTCCTGAGACTCCTATCTGGGCAGGACCAGCGATGAGTCAAGTGTGACTCCTGCCGCCAGGAGCTCATGGGCCAGTGAGGAAGCTGAGGTGGAGGCAACAGCTGCTCTGAGACCCAGATGGGCCCCTACTCCTACTCACAGTGTCACCGAGGGGAGGCTGCCCTAGAGGAGAGAGAACGGTGATGTCCAAGGGGAATGGTTTCTGAACAGGGAGAGAACTCGGGTGTCACCCAGGCCTGGGCTCTGCCTTTCCTGCATCTCACATCACTGCTGCTGGTGAAGTGGCACAGTGTGCCTGGTACCAGTGTGCCTGCAGCAGGGCCTCCTGGGTACAAAGTGCAGCTCTACAACTCACCAGCTGGGGCGCCTGGGCGAGTTCCGTAACTTCTCTGCACCTCACTTTTCTCATCTATAAAATGGGCATGAGGACAGTCTAGTACCTACTTCCTAGGGTGAGCAGGAGACCCAGGCCAGCTAACACATGGAAAGTGCCTGTCAACTGCTTTGTATGTGGTCAGCACTTGATCAACATTAACTGGTGCTCTTACTGCTGGAGAAAACAACAGAGCCATCAGGACTGCTTGGCTCAGGTTGGCAAGGCAGAACTGTGTGCAGAGGGCACGGCCCCAAGCTTAGGGCACAGTCCCTCCCTAGGCAGGAGGGGCCCGAGTGCCCCATCCACAGAAAGGAGACCCCCAGGTCCAGGGCAGAGCATGCAGGGCTTCTGCGGGGGCTGGGGAGGCAGACCCCCCGTGTGGAGGATGTCCTGAGTAGAGACACAGGGTTCAGGTCTACATCTGATCTAGACCCCTCTCAGAGGAGGCTGGGCCACTCCATGTTTGTGGGCATCAACAACAGTTGCTAGAGTTCGCCAAAGGTTAACTTTCTTGGAATTGTCTCAGGAAGCTGACAGAGCTTAACTGAACTGCAGGAGTGTGGGCTGGGTGGGGCCTGCTCTTGGGGGTTCTTCCGGGTGATGGCTGGAGGGTGTGTGATTTAGTTGTTTGTTTTTTAAGATTTATTTATTTGAAAGAGAGAGAGAGAGAGAGAGAGAGCGAGCTTCCAACTGCTGGTCCATTCCATCTCAAAATGCCCAGAACTGGGCCAGGCTGAACCCAAGAACTGCTTCTGGTTCTTCCATGTGGGTGACCGGGGCCATCTCCTGTTGCTTTCCCAGCACATTAGCAGGGAGATAGATCGGAAGTGGAGCAGCTGGGACATCACGACCAGGCGCCCATATCAGATGCCAGCATTGCAGGCAGTGGCTTTACCCGCTGTACCACAATGCTGGTCCCCGTTGGCTCAGCTTCAGTTGCAAGCATAAGAACCTGAGTATGGCCTTGACCCAGGGCAGGTCCTTTCTGCTTCCATCCGTCTGGCCTTCAAGTCAGGTAGACGGGGTGGGAGCTCGGCACTGGGGCTGGACCCTGGCTGGAATGGGTTGAGAGGAGAAGGATCTCATCTGTGAGCCCGGGGGTGACCATGGCTTAGGGGGACAGAGCTCTGCCTGCCAGACTTGGACTGCTCCTTGCGGATGGTGCTGCCAACTGGGTGGGAGCAGCGGGCACGGCCTGTATATTCCCAATTCGGTGGGCAGTGAGCTCACTCTCATAGCACTCCCTGCCCTGGAAGATGGAGGTGAACCTTCCAGGGACCATTTGAACCCACCCGTAGAACCAGCATTTTCCCAAGCATTCTTGGTTTCCCAACAGAGACCTGAAGCTCATTCCACAGAGTCCAGAAACAGAGGGAGAGGCCAGTGTCAGACCAGGCAATTACCTTTATGCTTGAAAGAACGCTAATTCACTAAGAATCAAAGGATGTTGGGAAACAGGACCCATTATATGGTCTCAAAGGAGCTTGCTGATACAGATCAGTTACTAAGTATAGGGGAAGAAAAAGAATGCCTTAGTAGGGCGCTACCGCTCATGAGCGCCCCCTAACGGGAGTCCCTGAAACAAACACAGCTTGACTTAGCTATTGAAAACATATGGCCTGAATTTCAGCAAGTGGGGGACAGTCTCAACAAGATGAGTACGTACCCATCAGCTTGTACATCTCAGAAATGTCAGTGTCAGCATCTCATATGGGCACAGGTTTGAGTCCCGGCTGTTCCATTTCAATCCAGCTCTCTGCTATGGCCCAGGAAAGCAGTATAAGATGGCCTAGACGCTTGGGCCCCTGCACCCACATGGGAGACCTGGAGGAACCTCTTGGCTCCTGGTTCCAGATCAGCCCAGCTCTGGCTGCTGCAGCCAAACAGGGAGTGAACCAGCAGAAGGAAGACCTCTCTCTCTCTGTAACTATGACTTTCAAATAAATAAATCTTTAAAAGAAGATACTAAAGACACATGACAGCAAAATGCAGCCTGTGAGGACACTGGGACAGACAACAGAATCAGAATGTATGGGAGCACCACAAAAACTAATGGAAAATGGAATTGAAGAGTCCGGCACAGTGGCATAGTATATAAAGCATCAGCCTGCAGCGCCAGCATCCCATATGGTTGCCGGTTCAAGTCCCGGCTGCTCACCTCCCGATCCAGCTCTCTGCTATGGCCTGGGAAAGAAGTGGAAGATGGCCAAGTCCTTGGATCCCTGTACCTGTGTGGGAGACCTGGAAGAAGTTCCTGGCTTCAGATGGGCCCACATTTGGCTGTGGCAACCGATGGAAGACTTCTGTCTCTCCATCTCTCTAACTCAGCCTCTCAAATAAGTCTTTTTTAAAAATGGGATTAAAATGTTAATTTTGGTGCAAAATACTTTTGAAATTCATGCATAGTTTTTTCCTAATGCCATTACCCATGAACTATTTGAGAACCCCAACGGACTTCCAACCGTCTGACGCTGCTATTTTAGTTGGTCCAAAGCAGCCTCAGTCAGCAATTTCCTATGATCCATCTGAATAGATTATCAAAGCAATGTTAAAATTGCTCGAGACTAGGGCCAGCATTGTGGCAAAGTGGGTATAGCTGCCGCCTGAGATGCTAGCATCCCATATGGGCACTGGTTCGTGTTCTGGCTGCTCCACTTCTGATCCAGCTCTCTGCTAATGGCCTGGGAAAGCAGTGGAAGTTGGCCCAAGTCCTTGGGCCCCTGCCATCCACATGGGAGACCCGGATGAAGCTCCTGACTTTGGCCAGGACCAGCGCTGGCCACTGCAGCCACACAGGGAGTGAACCCTCAGATGGAAAATCTCTCCTATGCATGTGTGCTCTTTCAAAATAAATAAATTTTTAAAAATTGCTTGCAATTGATTCTTGGATTGTGATAACTGATGTGAATGGACTTGCTCCTCACAGATGGATGCTGAGGTATTTGTGGGAGAGACAGAAAAGATGTAGTATACAGGTATTCCTTCTTGCAACTCTTCTAAATAAAAAAATGGGAAGAAATCTACAGAGAAATTCCATCCATTCTGCCCTCACTCTGCTTTGCTCAGAAAACTCCAGGCCAGCGATGCAATGAGGGCTGGGGCACTTCGAATAGGAGCTGTGGAGCAGGGCCCCGCCCCCACCTACACTCGCTGGCACTCACCTGGGTTTCCAGTTCTGTGACCTCCAGGTTCAGTTTATTCAGGTGCTTGTTCACGAAGGTGATGAGCGTCTAAAAGGGAAGCAAACATGAGCTGAGCAGGAGACTCACAATGCCATACCCGGGGTCCCGAGGAGGAGTGGAGCGCTGGCTCCAGGCTTTGCAGAGTCCTGAGGCAGGATGAGGGCTGGACTGTCTGAGCTCCAGGGTGGGGACGGGGGCTGGGAGGGAGATGAGGAAGGAGGCAGAAACAGAATGGCCTCACTGGAGCCCTCCTGTGGCACAGCTGCCTATCCCCAGGCTGACAAAATTTTGTATAGGGAGGCAGAAAAGGTGGAGAGTCACATTCGCCGGGAGAAGGGCAGGCTTGAATGAGGCACTTGTGAGGAACAGACAGAACAGGCGTCATGGGGACGCCTCGTGTCTGCCGGCATCCGCGATGCCAGCAGGGGTGGCGGGAGGCCTGCGGGCTGCAGGGCTGGGCTCCTGACGCTTGGCGGCAGCTGGCTTCTCTCCTCCCCTTCCGGGTGCCCCGTTCTCACCTTCTTCACCACGTTGAGTTTGTCTGGTGCGTGGTCGAATAAGGTGTCAAAGGCGTCACGCTCTGAAAAACAGGAAAACAGACGGAGGAGCACACAGAACACGTCCCCGGCAGGCAGCAGCCTGTAGGGTGAGCACATGACGGGGAAGTTTTTGGGTTGTAGGTTGTGTAGGAACTCAGAATCTGGGATGGGGGCTGAGTCTGACCCTCGGGGCCTGTGTGTGTGTGTACATGTATGTGTCTACGTATGCTCATGTGAACACGGGTCAGCCCTTTTTCAGGCTGGGGTCGGGTTAGCTGAGCCTCGCTCAGATAGCTAGGTGTGCAACCATTCACTTCTCTTTACTATTTGTACCCCATCCTATCCTCAGTCAGTCTAGCCTCTGATTCTAAAGCATTACGGAGGTAGACTATATTCAACCGTATTCAGCCCCCAATTTTCCAAAACACAACACCCAAGACAGACAACCTGGCAGAGGGGCATAGACGAGAGGACTGGGGTGCAGGAGCCTTTGGATGGAAAATGGACCCCTCTTTGGGCTTTCGTTTCCTCTTCAACAAGTGTCATCCACTAGGAGGCTTCCCCCAGCAAGGGACGTGCGTGTGCTGACGTGTGCCGTGTTCTGCACAAACGATCAATTGCAAAATTCTGCCCACCGCCCAGCCCTGCTCCCTGTGGGTTCTCAGAACTAAGCGGTGATGATGTGCAGGGCACCTGAGGAGGGAGGAGTCCCCAGGATGAGCCTGGGGCTTCGGGACCCAAGAACTGCCATTCTTGCACCAGTGGGAAGCTGAGCTGCCCCCAAACTGACGGTGATGGCTGCCAGTCAGGGACTCCAGCAAACCCAGAGCTGTGACGAGGGAAGGGGGAGAAGGCAGCCTCGGGAGGGGCTGGGAGGAGGAGGAGGCAGCGGGTCACACACTGCTTCCCTCGCCAGGCCCACCCCAAAGCCCAGGATGGAGTCGATGGCCCTGTCAGTTCCCGGAGATGGTGCAGACGTGGTGCGGCTTCTTCCCACCAGGCCGCTGTCCCTTCCCACCCCGCCAGCTGTGTCCCCAGGCTGCTGCAGACCCCACGATCAAGAGTCTCATGCTACTCACCATGCCTTCCGGAGAGAGCCCTGCAAGAAAAGGAGAGAGTCAGAGTGATGCTGTCATAGCCCTGGGAGGGGCCAGGCCCCCACTGCGCAGGCCCCGCCCCCTGCCTGGCCTTAGGCAGCAGCCCAGATTGCCTCCCTCCCCTGACCTTTTATTCTGTGCTGTCTCTGGTTCCTCATCATCACCCATCTTTCCCCTCTGCTACACAGACACTCCCAGTGCACTGCGGTGGGCACAAAACCTGGTTTTGTGATGGTTAAAGGACTGTTTCCTACTGTAATAGAATTGCATTCTGACTTGCGGTTAAGAAGGAATACTGGACTCCTCCCAGTAGACAATCTCAGGGTGCCTGGGGACAGAGCTCAAGCGAGCCCCTCCCCACCACCCATCCTGTGTGTGGAGTTTCCCTGCCTGGGTTGCTGTGGCCTGTAACTGGGGGTGCCAGCTTTGTCTCTCTCTCCTGTCTAGCCTGTGATGCCCACCATGGTGCACCTGCCATGGGCCCAGCCCAGGCTTTTTCAGAGAGGCCAGGAATGGAGCCCTTTGTGGCAGAGAAACTGCAGAGTATTACGAACTGAAGCACTTAGCAGTAAGTCCCACTGATTTTTTTTTTGCTTCGTAACCTTGGGCAAACCACTGACCCTCTCTGGGTTCCAGGTCTCCTCTGTCTGAAATGAGGATAATAATGGTAAATGCCTCAATGGGATGTTGTGAGCATTTACTGTCTAGCAAGATGCTACCGTAAGCCCCAGTATATTTTTTTCTCAATGCATTTTTGGTTCTCATTATATTGGTTCATCCACTTACACACTGATCACCCACTGAGTGACCACTTGCTGGTAGTATACTGAAAACTATACTAGCTTGGAGTTAACTGTTGGGTGGACCATGGTAACTGGGATACAGTTTCCTTAAACTCCCTGGGGCTGTGGGCTTTAGGGGGTGCAATCACTGCTTCTTGTTTGTTATGGGCCTCAGCTGCTTCGTCCACTGTGCGCGTGGTCGTGATTAGGAGGGGGCATCCGGGCTCACGCCTGCGGCAGACAGCAGTGCGGGGCCGCAGAAAGCGTGGCCTGCAGCTGAGAGGCAGACACACCGCACACTCCCAATTCCACAGCCGCTCCCTGGCCCTCTCGGGTCTATTTTTCTTCCAGTGTGTGAAACAGTGGGCCCTAAAGAATGTCGCGCCTGCCTGGCTGGCCTGCCCCAGCCGGCTTGGCTCTGTCTCCTCACAGCACCAAGGCCAGGAATCCTACCTGACCCTCTGGCTACCGACGCAGGGCCCTGGCGTGATGGGGAGCCTGACCGGGTCTCTGCAGACCATAAACGAGGCATCTCGGGCAGGGCTGCACCACGCCTCTGACAGCCCCCGCATGCGCAGTACGGCGCAGACGGCCGTGCTCGGGGGGCTTCCTAGAGGGCAGAAGGTGATGGGCAAAGGCAGCGATGGGCGGGGCGGCGAGGTGCTGCAGGCACCCCGCTGGTTCCTCACCCCCCCTTCCCAGGCTTAGGAAAATGCCTCCCCACTTCAGAGACGGGGGTCACAGAGATTAGGGGACAGGGTGAGTGAGTGGCAGAGCTGGGTTCGGACTCAAGGTGGGCTGGCTTAGCGGTGCCAGCTCTGTCCCTACGCTGCTCTTTTCCAGGGGACCAGCTAGGGGGGCAGGGAGTGCTGAAAACCGACTCTGCCTGGCTCTGCGTGGGGCCAGGGCTCAGGGCCTCCCCAGCACCCCCTACACCACCCTGCTCTTTCTGCTTCAGAAAAGAACCCCCATCCCCCATGGCTAACCTCTGATCCACTCAGATATCCCAATTTCTCAAAGTAAATGGGGGAAAAAAGGACCCACGCAACTCAGAGAGAGAAGGGGGCTCTGGGGGCCACGGCACGTGACCAAATGAATCAGATTCAGAAAAAGGCAGAAAAACGTCCTTTTGAAGGTTAATCGTTTAAATTCAACCCCATGTTTATGGCGTGCCGATTTCATGCTGGTTGGCTTCTTTAGGCACACTTTTTTCCTGGAGTGCCACAAAATTAGAATTTTTCAATCACGGCTAATTCCCGGTCCCCACTTCCCCACCCAAGTTTGTACCTTCAGCATGGAGAGACATGTTTTGAATGCATGGAAAAGGCTAAACTATCATCATTGGCTGAAGTCTAATCCTCCTGCAATCCCAATAAATGAAAACTAAATATCAGCAAATGGATGAATTTCGGAGAAACATCTGTGTTCCATTACAGAATCGCTGGCAACAATGGTGTTGACATACTCTGTGTTACCAGTTATTTCCTCTTGGATTTGCCGCGACTGGAGGATTCCTTCTCGTTTCTGAAATGGGGGTGGGGAAAGGCGTGGGGAGGAGAAGAGAAAAATATGCTTTAGAAAAATACAAACTGCTGAGCATCGCTGATAGTGACAAAGTTGCTGGCGTTCCAGAGGCGGGATGGTGGCAGAAGTGCAGAGACGCCCTGTTTTGCCGGGGGCTGGACCCTACCATTCGCATGCGAGTGCAATTAGTGTTTAGTCCAAACAAGTAGGCTGTATCTTGGATAGCGAATCTTTCCTTTCTTTATTGGAAGACATTCTGCTGGAAGCAAACCCTGGGCCTCCTGGAGTAATCCGCAGTAAACCCAATGGAAATGAAGGCCAGGGTGTGCCCGCCCTCCAGCTGGGTCCGCAGGGGGGAGCGGAGAAACACACGGAGCTGGGGGCTGGAGGGAGGGACCCCGGCCAATGTGGAGAATCCAGACAAAGGCAGAGGACTTTGTTTTTAAAACCCTAATAAACATGGGAGCTTTGAAATATCAGAGTACTTTAAAAAGTTCATGGAAAATGAAATTAAAAGACAGGTCTGTTTTGGTACAATTTTGAAATCCATGCATGTGAAGGAGTCTCACTGAAAATGGATATTCTAAAAAAAAACCATAGATTTCAATTTTTTTATACCAAAATAAACTTCTACTTTCATTTCTCATGAACTTTTTCTTTTAAAAAAATATTTATTTATTTGAAAGGCAGGGTAATGGGGAGAAAAGGGCTGACATGGTGAGGTGGGAGGTAGAAAAATCTTCCACCCACTGGTTCACTCCCCAAACGGCCACGATGGCCAGGGCTGGGCCAGGCTGAAGTCAGCAGCCAGGAGCTTCATCTGGGTTTCCCCCATCCCACGAACTTTTTAAAGGCATGCTTGGGGCCAGTGCTGTGGTGTAGTGGGCTAAGCCTCCGCCTGCGGCACTGGTTCGAGTCCCAGCTGTTCTTCAGATCTCGCTTGCTGCTAAGGCCTGGGCCAAGAGCTTGGGCCTCTGCAACCGTGTGGGAGACCCAAAAGAAGCTCCTGGCTCCAGCCATGTAGGCCATCTAGGGGGTGAACCAGCGGATAGAAGACCTTTCTCTCTGTCCCTCTGTCTGTAACTGTACCTCTCAAATAAATAAACTTTTTTTTTTAAGTGCATGCTTACTCAGGTAACTGTTTATTTGAGAAAAGGTCATCTGTCCACCCCGTTCCCATCACCTCTTCCTTTCTTCTGTATGACATTCACCTGTGCCTTCTACGTACAGGCCTCGCTGGAGCGAGAACAAATGCTGCGGAGCGCATGGCCTGGCTGTGGCAGTGAGGAACTCAGAGGAAAGAGAAGACAGGCAGGTGCGAGGGGATGGCTGTCCTCCACCGTCCAGGTTTATGCCCCATGTCCCAGCTTCATTGTTAATCAGATGCACTTTTACTCTCAAAAGTGCGGTGGGGAATAAATGTTGGGGAGCCCTGTGCGGAGAGGAGGTGCTGAATGCAGGACCGGAGCGAGCGATGGTCAGGGGAGCTTGCAGGGAGCGGGAACTTCAAGGACAGCCAGGATTTGGCTGGATGCAGACAGAGAAATCATTCTAGTGGGCGGAAGGGCCCGGCCAGAAGGCAGAGTCAGGACGGCACAAGCGTGCTCAGGCAGCTGTCGGGAGAGGGGGTGGCTGCCGTGAGTAAGGGGCTGCTCTGAGCACAGGTCTAGAGGTAGGTGGGCAGGGCAGCCAAGCGAAGGGGCTCAGGGCCTGGGAGGACCTCTGACGGGCATGAAGGAGAGGCCGATGCGATCAGGTCCCTGCAGAGCTAGAACCGGACCCTTGGCAGCGGTCAGGGCACTGCAGGCAGTTTTCAGTGTGAATTCCTCTTTCTAGAGGCTCAGAGGCGTGCTCAGAGGAGCGTCTGCACACTGGTGCCTCAGCTGAGCCTCCTGCCCAAACCCACAAGCATCCCAAGAGCCCCGGCACTGGCATCCTTGCAAAAGCCTGCTGCAGCGGGAAAGGCAGAGGTGGAGAAGGCCCAGACTCTGCGCTCCGCTCCATGGAGCAGGATGGACTGTCAGAGTGAAAATGCAAGCAAGCAGGCGGACACGATTTAAAGGGGCCAGGGTGACGCTAAGTCGGGACTTTGCCCAAACCCCATTTCCACACCTGTAAGGTTTTCACAACAGGCTCAGGGAATCTGTGTCCCTGTCTGGCGAGGCCATTCACAGACAGGAAACCTCATCTTCGGCTTCAGGCAAAATCAGAACGGAAAAGACGTCAGGGTTAAGCGGCCCCTCACGCAGCAGCCCGAGCAGCTCCATCCTTCCTTGTCCCCTAGAGGGGTCTCCAGCAACTCTGCCTGTTCTGCATCTTACACCTTGCTGCAGCAAAACACCCTGCAATACCCTCCGGACAGGTTTTACGTCCTCTTTCTTTTGTCATGCTAACGATGCTGCCTGCAGGAAAAATGAAGCCAGTGGCCTTCTGACAGCCTAGAACTGAGCTCAAAATCACGCCAGCCCGAGATGAGATGCAGGCCTACAAGGCCCGCTGTTTCAAAAACAGGAGCCACCTCTGGCCTGCTCAGATCTTCAATCTTAGCTTTCTTTTTGCCTGAAGCCATCCCGAACAGGCATATTCTATTATTTCTATCAGCGAGCTATTTATCCAAGCTGATAGGAAAAATACAAAGATGTTCAATAAACCAACAGGCAAAGAATCAGAATGCACTGTCACAAAAGATACAAAATGGCAATTTGCATGGAAGTATTTATCTCCACTAGCAAGGAAAGAACTAATAAATGAATATAATGACTGTGTTTACTCAAGAAGAAATTTTCCACAATTTGCAATGCTAGTGATAGGTTAGTTGCTGAAGGACTCTTTTATAAACTACTCCAGAAATCAGGATTTTCAGAATCAGACTTCATGTTTTCAGAGTGGTTTTAGGTTCACAGCAAAGCTGAGAGAAAGCTACAGCGATTTCCTGCATGTACGCTGAATGTGTGTGTGCACACACCATCACCCACCAGCAACATCCCACAACAGTGGTACAGCTGCTACAACTGAGGAACCTACACTGACCCCTCAGGGTCACCCAACAGCCATCGCTTTACTCAAGTTCACTGTCAGGGTTGTGCCTGCTATGGGTTTTGACAAATGCATGCTCCCCTGCAGTACGAAGAGTCCCCACTTACAGTTTCAAAAAACAAAACGAGATGGATGGCACAGAGATTACTGACAGGAGCTGGCCTGGGGTGACGAGGAAGACGCTTGTCGCAGGAGGCTGTGGGCTGGCTAGACACACAAGCGCGCACAAACGCAGTGTACATGAGATGCTGAGCACCAGACCTGACACAGGCGAAGAGCTCGGGAAGCGAGGACAATTAGCACCTGTCCATCAGCTGCCTGCAGCGTCTGCGCCACGTGCGCGTGCATTGTCTGTGGGCTGCAGACAGCCCTGCCGGCTTCCTATTTGTGGTCCTATCTCCTGGCAGGCTGAGCCAAGGTGTCGTATTCCTATCATGCCCTCTTGATGCTCAGCAGAGTTAAGTACCCCAAAGGTGTGGGAGAAACACTTTCTCACGGGGCACTCGCCCAGGAGCACCATCATGTCCTCCTCTGCTGTTAACATCTGATCACTGAGGCCCAGCTCCAAGTCCTTTTAGCTCGGAAACTGGCCTGATCAGGCAAAGTGTGCCAGCCCTCAAAGCTTTTCCTCCCCGAGGCCTGGCACAGCTGATGTACTGTTCCTTATTCCAGAGCCCTGGATCACCCTGAACATGTGGGGAGTCCTCCCTTGCTGCTTGTTTATTTGGAAAAGAGCACAAACAAGCAAACAAAATGATGACCTTTTGCTAAATGGGCAGACGTTGGAAAATAAGATTGAATTTGAGTATTTAATGGGGTTAGGAGCAGAGTGGGATAGTCATGGAGAGAGAGCACACCCTCACTGTGGAAATTATACAGCCGTATGTGGATGGAAATTCCATCCAACAATCTGGAAAAGATGACTTGAGATCCCAGCCGTGCTGCTCTGGGCAGCTGAAAAGCATCAGTGCCTTCCACATGAACTTGGCAACTCAGGGTCTTTCTCAAGTGCATACACACAAATGCGTGCACACACACAAGTGTGTGCACACTTACCTGTCTCCCAAGACCTGTGCATCATCGGTTTAACAGTTAGAAGAATGAGATTCTCCACGGATTGCAAGATACCCTGTGCCTCCTGCATACTAGTGCATGACGCACACACACTCAACTAAGCATGGCACAGACAACCTCCCAACAAAACGTGTACGACAGGCACACGACCCACATAAGGCTATCCCAGACACAAGCACACACTCATCCATTCTCGGCACAGTCATCAGGGATATGCCAATGTGCACCAGAGAGCTCACCCACGTGGCCCTGGACACACCCAGCCTCATTCAGCCGTCCCTGCTAAGAATCCATGCACGGGCTGTAGCTGTCCCAGGAACTCGGCCACCACAGCCCTGCACAGGAGCAGATGTCTGCCGCAGAATCTGTCTTACCTGGACCACAACCACCTGGATGGAAACATGGTCTGGGAGTCGAATCGGTGCCCGGAAATACTGAGACAGAGCAACCAGCAGGTGCAGAATGGCCACGAGGCTCTTGGCGTGAACAGCTGAAATGCAAAGAGGATGTACATCATCTTCTTCCGGGGCCTAGGCAATACGTGCAGATACAAGGCAATCTGACCATATGCACTGTGACCTGAGAAATGCATGAACCTTTGGTCCTGACATACCTCTCCTAAGAGTTTATCCTCAAGGAGTAATTATGCCTAAGGGCAGAGAGAGCTCACCAGTCTGTATTTACACTAGTGAAAAATGGAGAATAACCCCAAATCCATCGTTAAATACATTATGATCTGTCCATGCAATGTCATAGCACAAAGCATGAAAAGTGACATGTAGGATATTTAATGATTTGTAAAGATACACAGCTTCCAAACAACCTATACGGGTTGATCTCATTTTTGTAAAAACGTATCTCCATACATATACACACATATTCTATGTATAGACTATATCATACATACCATTTATTATACACACAGACACAACAGGAAGGAACAGGCCACGACGCTCACAGTGCCTGGCAGCTTATGGGAACAGTGTGTGTGTGCTCAGTACCTAGGCCCTGCAGCCAGACTCTCCAGGGCTGATTCCTGGCCCCATCACTGGTAAGCTGTGTGACCCTGGATTCCCACTGCAAATCACATTGTGCTTAATATGTGCCAATCATTCTTCTTGGTTCACTGCTGTATGTAGTGTAAAGACAAAAAGTCCTGCCTTCACGAACCTTACATTCATTGTATCTTAACCTCTCTCTGTCTTGATGGCCCTGTCTGTAAAGTGGGGATAACAGAATTCTTAGATGGTTTGAGTGAGGACTACAAGGATGAAAATATGTCAAATGTTCTTAACAGTGCAAGGCATCCCACAAGCACCATAAGTCAGATGTTAAGCTTTAGGTTTCTTCAAACTTAGCTGCTTTTTCTGAAATTTCAGTAATGAAAACTACTGCTATGAAGTGGAAAACAAAAGAAAAGAAATCCTGAAGTCCCAGATCAGCCTGTCCCTGCCACCTGTGTCTGGAGCTGGAGGAGTACCGTGCCCTTGGCTGTGCAGCCAGGGAGGACAACAGGAGAGGAGCTTCCTCCTGGAGCTGTGCCTGCTGCACACCCTAGGGACCAAACCACAGCCCAGCTCCTGGTGAAGCCCTGAGGCATGGCAAGGAGCTAGTCACGTGATAACTCTTCTATTCATCTCAGTTCTGGAGCTTGGTTTAAGTGGAACAACTGAAGAGAAACATAAGCTAGGACGCTTAACTGGCCACTATCTTCTTTTTTTTTTTTTAAGATTTATTTATTTATTTGGAAGTCAGAGTTACACAGAGAGAGGAGAGGCAGAGAGAGGCAGAGAGAGACAGAGACGGAGAGATCTTCCATAAACTGGTTCACTCCCCAAATGGCTGCAATGGACAGAGCTGTGTGGATCCAAAAACTTCTTCTGGGTCTCCCACATGGGTGCAGGGGCCCAAGGACTTGGGCCATCTTATACTGCTTTCCCAGGCCATAGCTGGATAGGAAGTGGAACAGCTGGGACTCAAACCAGCGCCCATATGGGATGCCAGCACTGCAGGCAGCTGCTTTACCCACTATGCCACAGAGCTGGCCCCATCTGGCCACTATCTGATACTTAGCAATTGGTTGGAAAACATCCTAAAAAAAGATCAACTGCAACCCAGGGTTTAAGTTAACTATGGGATGTCTACTCCATGAAATAAAAGTAGCTATCAAAAATTATCAGGACAGGAGTTGGCACTGTGGTGCAGTGGGTGAAGCCACTGCTTGTGATGCCAGCATCCCATATCAGAATGCTGGTTCAATCCCCAGCTCTGCTCCTATCCAGCTCCCTGCTAATGCACCTGGGAAGGCAGAGGATAATGGCCCAAGTGCTTGGGCCTCTGCCACCCATGTAGTGGGACCCGGATTGAATTCCTGGCTACTAGCATCAGCCTGGCCCAGCCCTGGCTGTTGCAGCCGTTGGAGCTCTAACTTTCAAATAAATGAATAAGTAAATATTATTAAAATTATAACAACAAAGATCACAATGGTATACATAAAATATGTATTATATTAAAATAACAAAATAAGAGTATATATGACTTGACCAAGTAAAAACATGCATTGCTTTGACCAGTAATGGTAAAAGAATGAAAACAGCTAGGTCGGGATAGTCATATGGATAACTACATTTCTCATAAACACTAAGCAAGCATGAATCAAACAAATCATTGAGAGCCACTGACAACAATGTTCCTGATTGGACTCTTTAAAAAATTCCGTTCTTCTATCTCAGCCTTGCCCAGTGTTAAGTTAAACAGGTTGCGCTGTGTTCTGTTTTTTGGCCTGAGTACCTGGGATCAAAGGACACTTGAGCAGGGCTCTTCCTTGGGGGACTGACCGAAGGCACAGCACTACTGTGCACCTGCAAAACGCAGGCACATGTCCCCAGCTCCTGACGGGCCTCTTTCTTTCTCTCCCCGGCACAGGAGGAGATAAAGCCCCTCTCCAAGACAGCACTCAGGGCCCAGGGTGGTGACCTCGCCTCCTCCTCCCTCAGCCCTCAGGTGCCTCCGTCTACCTGGCAGAGAATGTTCTGTTCCCAGCGCTGGGCACTGTGTGAAGCAGCTCATCACGCCACCCACCGTGCACACAAAGGTGTAATTATGCTGAAGGAGGTACTTGGCGTCTTGGCCCCAATGTCAGATGTTAGAAACCTGCTTGAGAGAGTGCAGACAGCAGCCACCGGGTCTCTAAGTCTAGAGGGGAAGATCTCCCACTTTTCCTCCCAGCCCCCCTACTTTATTTGGCAGGGAATTGTTCAATTTAAGTTAAGAAGTGCAATAGAGCATTTAAGCCTTAAAACACAGGGCTATCAACTATTAATCTAAATTTGTATTTTTATCTATTGCAAAGAACAAAACAAATTTTTCCCTCTAGTGGGAAATACAGTGGATCCACTTAGACCAGGGATCTAATGCCGAGCCCATCTTGGACTCCCGGCCACTGAGGCAGAGGCAGCAAGAGCATGAGTGGTTTATGCTCTGAGACCCTTGAGCTGTGCACGCTGTGAGAAGGTGGCTGTGCTCTCAGCCGCATCTTTGCTCCTTCCAGAAAAAGCAGAGGGAGTGGAAGAGTGTGGGCATGGGCCAGGCAGGGTCCTTGCTCCCTGCCTCCCAGCTGTGTGGACATGGGGGCCTCCGCTTCCCGAAGCCACTTCGCCCCGGGCCTTGCAGTGCTGGCTCTCAGAGGCCGCTCAGTGAGCGTCAGCTTCCTTTCCCCGCCCATCTCACACGAAGTTTCTATGGAAAGCTTTTTATAGAAAGGGGTCACAGGATTTTGACATTTGGCTCCAAGGATATATGTGACAAATTCCAAGGAAGGGTGCATCTAGCGCGAAGATCAACGAGTGTGCAGCCGCCCGTGAGATCACGCACATGATCCCACGGCGCCAAGCCACAGCTCCCCACGTGCCACTCACAGTCCACGTTCCACTTGATGCTCCTGGGAGGAAGCTTCAGGGTCTCGTTGATCTTCTCCAGGACCGTCTGCAGCTTCTGCTTCTGCGCAATCTCTGACTGGGTGACCTCGGCGACATTTAGCTTCTCGCTCTCGAGTTTCTCTGGGATGACAGAGGAAAGAGAACAGCTGTTGCGCTGGGGCACAGACAACCCCGACTCCTGCATTCACTCACTTGTTTATGCTCACATGCAGGCACGCACGCCTTCTACACACACGCACAGTGCTCCCTCGGTATCCACAGTGGAGAGGTTCCGGAGCCCTTCCAGGATACCGGAATTCACAGATGCCCGAGTCTCCCATGCGCACACACAAATTATATGACTTGTGCATATCCTCCTGTACACTTTTTTATTTTATTTTTTTGACAGGCAGAGTGGACAGTGAGAGAGAGAGAGACAGAGAGAAAGGTCTTCCTTTTGCCGTTGGTTCACCCTCCAATGGCCGCCACAGCCGGCGCGCTGAGGCCGGCGCACCGCACTGATCCGATGGCAGGAGTCAGGTACTTATCCTGGTCTCCCATGGGGTGCAGGGCCCAAGCACTTGGGCCATCCTCCACTGCACTCCCTGGCCACAGCAGAGAGCTGGCCTGGAAGAGGGGCAATCAGGACTAGAACCCGGTGTGCTGGCGCCGCAAGGCAGAGGATTAGCCTAGTGAGCCACGGTGCCGGCCATCCTGTACACTTTAAATAATTTCTACTTTATGTATAATACTTAATACAATGTAAGTGCTATACAGATGGTGGATACACTGTATTGTTTAGGAAATAATGACTCCAAAGTACACTGTACATGTTCAGTACAGTTCCTGTACGTGTTTCAGCCTGCAGTCTGGTGAAGTCTGTTGGATCTGTGGAGGTAGAACCCACAGACATGGGCTGTACTGAACGCTCATCAGGGGAAGGCCACTGGCATGCCCTTCCCAACTGATGGTGGCATCAGTAATGGGAAAGCCTTTTGACTGTGCCTCGAATCCCCAAAGCTGAAGGTCCCGGGACCGCAGAAGTGGACTTTCAGGTGAGCCTGTTGTATATGAACTGTTTCTGCCACTCTGCCAGTTCCACGGGCATGTCCGTGCCGACCGGCAAGCCTTCTCTGCTTTCCCATGGGTGTCAGTCACGTCCTTTTCCAAGGCATCCTGTCCAGACCTTTAGTATAATACGAGGGGCTTCAACAAGTTCATGGAAACTGTGCGCTGTTAGCTCATTTTCCTCTGAGCCCACTGAAAGCCCTTGTTTTGCGGCACATACAATCACACATTTGCCTTCTTTAAGCAACTTCTTTTAAAGCCATTGGGAAGGCCAGCGCCACAGCTCACTAGGCTAATCCTCTGCCTGTGGCGCCGGCACACTGGGTTCTAGTCCTGGTCGGGGCGCCGGATTCTATCCCGGTTGCCCCTCTTCCAGGCCAGCTCTCTGCTGTGGCCCGGGAGTGCAGTGGAGGATGGCCCAAGTGCTTGGGCCCTGCACCCCATGGGAGACTGGGAGGAGGCACCTGGCTCCTGGCCATTTGTGGGGTGAACCAACAGAAAAAGGAAGACACCTTTCTTTTTTTCTCTCTCTCTCTGCCTGTCAAAAAAAAAAAAAAAGCCCTTGGGAAGGCAACTTACTTGATGTGTCACATTTCTTCAGTTGAAAGGCATGCATGACCCTAAATTCAGGCTTTTTTTTTTTTTTTTTTTGACAGGCATAGTTAGACAGTGAGAGAGAGAGAGAAAGGTCTTCCTTCCGTTGGTTCACCCCCCAAGTGGCTGCTACGGCCAGGAGCCAGGTGCCTCTTCCTGGTCTCCCATGGGGTGCAGGGCCCAAGCACTTGGGCCATCCTCCACTGCACTCCCGGGCCACAGCAGAGAGCTAGCCTGGAAGAGGGGCAACCGGGACAGAATCCGGCGCCCCGACCGGGACTAGACTCTGGGTGCCAGCACCGCAGGCGGAGGATTAGCCTGGTGAGCTGCGGCGCCGGTCCCCACCTTTTTTTTTTTTCAGGCTGTGTCTTAAAATCAGTGTTACCCTACACTTGCTGCCAGTCAGATAAGAAGAAACAGGAGCTACCAGTGTCTGGATGTGGGTGAACCTGGTCATGGTTCTTCACAGTAGGGTCACTTCTGTGACTTAATCACCTGCCAGGGCACCTTCAGAATGTGTAGAATCAAAATTCTAACTGTAAGAAAACATTGGGTAACAGTTCTGTGAAAATGATTTCCTCTCTGAGGGGTGTGCTTTCAAATCAGGGGTTCTTCTATGCAATCACATCACCCCCTGCTACTGAAGTGGCCAAACAGTCTAACCATTTTCTTAATCTAAACTTGTATTTTAATCTATCATGAAGAACAAAACAAATTTGCGCTCCAGGATGGAACATACTAGGCTCACCTAATCTGCTCCTCATGCCTCCATCCAAACGTCGTTTCAAGGGAGGGCATGCACACCAATGCGCCTTCGCATCAGTCACTCCGTTCGCCTAGCGCTTCCCAGCTGTATTCTATCGTTAGGTAACACTAGCTAATTTAAGTCAGATAGGCCCTGGGGAGTTCTTTGAAGTGGAGCTTGCCGGTTCCTTGGACCCAGGACTTCATTCCAGCACCTTGGCAGGGTGATCTGGGCCATTTTTATTTGTAATGCCCTGAAACATTATCTCTCTTTTTAGTTGTTTCAACTTAACAGTCTTTATTTCTGAAGTTCAGGGACTTCACCAGCCTACACCTAAACGCCTATTTCTTGACTGTTAAGCCTGGGAGACCTTTGTGTGCCTTTCCCATTGTCAGGCTGCTTCTCACCTTGGGTCCTGTCCTGAAAAAAATGGCAAGGCCCTTCCTTTTTTCTCATTTTGGGATGATGTAACCATGTCTACAGAAGCAAGTTGTTTTCATTTCAGTGCAACTCGAACATTGGGTAGAGAATGCTTAAGAAATATGTCAAGTTTTATCTTGGCTCGGTGGGAGAGACGCCAGACAGATTAAGAGCTGTTCTGAGAGTGGGCTGGGGTGGGGGTAGGGGGGGCAGCATGTGAGCCACTTCTCTGCTGGCCCTGCAGCATTATTACATCATTGTCTATGTGTTTTCCCATGTATCCTCTTTTGCTGGCATTGGACTCAAGAGTGAATGGCTTAGGTCTTTGAGTCTGTTTTCTAAGTCAACAGCTTTTTCTTGCACTGTTATGCATTTCATTCTTGTTTTGTACAAACTGGTGTGACATAACAAGAAATAAATATTTGGTTTCCCCACTCCCCATATGGTACAGAGTTGTAAAATCCCTGGTAACTTCCTGAGTGACAGGATAACAGGAGCCATCTCTGCTTAGCTTATTCAGTTTTGGTCCCTAGTTCTCCAGAGAAATCCAGAGTGATAAAGATGTTGTTCATAATAAGCCCCTTTCAACCACACTCAAGTTTATGTTACTGAGGCAACTTTTGGAAAGCCCCTAGGATGGGGGTGGGGCTTGTTGCCAGGGGAATCAATCCTGATGAAAGGCTTGGTACTCTCAGCACCCTCCACCACCTACAGGGAGATGACAAAGACAGGGACAGAGCCCATCCCCTGTAGCCACTGATTTAATTAAGTGGGTCTAGGTAATGACGACTCCATAAAATCTCTAACCAAAGAGGTTTGGAGAGCTTCCAGGCTGGTGACCGTGCTGAGGGGCTGGAGGCTGGTGCGCCTGGAGGGAGCATGGGGGACCCAGCCCTTCTCCCACACCTTTCCTGTGCTTCTCTTCCACCTGGCTATTCCTCAGCTGTATCACTTACAATAAACAATAAACACGTGTGTCTTCCCGAGTTCTGTGAGTGGTTCTGGAAAATCAGAGAAGATGGTCCTGGGGAACCCTGATCTCCCGTCAGCTGGTAAGGAGGTACAGGAAGCTGGCCTTTGTGGCTGGCATCTGAAGTGGGAGCAGTCTTGTGGGACTGAGCCCCTCAGCTTATAGGGGCCTGCCAACTGTGGGCAGTTAGTGTCAGAATTTGGTATTAAGACACTCAGTGTCTGAAGAGAACTGGAGAACAGTGACAGTACTTGAGAAAATCTGTGGAAAATGGAATTAACAGATGCTTATTTGGGTGCAAAAACATTGAAATCCATGCATAGTGTCTTCAAATTATCCAATTTCCATACTTTTTTAAAAAAATAAAAATATATTTTCATTTTTTATTTGAAAGGCAGAGAAAGAGAGAGGGAAGAAGAGAGATGGGTCCTCCATCTGCTGGCTCACTCCCCAGATGCCGGCAACACCCAGGGCTGGGCCAGGCCACAGCCAGGAGCTCAGAACTCCATCAAGATGGTCTTCTATGTGGATGGGACAGGGACCCAAGAACTTCAAGTCATCATATGTGGCCAAGGGTCTCGTTAGCTGGATTGGAAGTGGAATAGCCAGGACTCAAACTAGTAGCTCCTATATGGGATACAGGTCTCCCAAGCATTAACTTTATCCACTGTGCCAAATGCCCATCCATTCCAGAAACTTCTTATAGACCCATCTATGCATGAACTGCAACATAATCTCCATTTTCCACAAACCTTTTGAACTACCCTCATACATATGACAGCTCTGTTAGAACTTCTCAGTCTTCCACTCTTCAATTCTGTACTGCCTGCAGGTCACAACTTTTTGAGTATGTTTCACTGTTTCCTTAAAAAAATCTCTGCAAAAATAGGTTTGAATTGCTGACTTAAAAAACAACTAGAAGATTCACAAAATAATCCACCTGAGAAAACTGTCTCAATCACATGTTATCTCTTTGATGCCATAAACTTAAACTAATTATGAATAATTTGTGGAACTATGGAAACATGTGAGAAATGGTTTCCTAGAAGAATGAAACTTAAAACATGAATAAAACTTAAGCAGCAGAACATTTTCATATAGCTTCCTATAATTAACAAAGAACAAGAGCAGAACTAAGAGCCTGAAAAAAATCTTTAAATCCTTAGTAACAATGAGTACAATTATTTAATTATAAAAGCATTTGAGTGGACCTCTTGAATTTTGAGGGTTGAATACCTTAAAAATGAAGTAGGGGGTAGCAACAGAAGAGAATAATTGCTTCAAAGCAGACTTGACTGTATTTTATCTTATTTGCATTCCAGGGAATGCTGAAGACTCAAATAA